AATTACTGTTAAACTGTAAAGTTTGCGAGCAATATATTTTCGCAAATGTGGCATTTACAAAATAACACAGATGTAAATCGTTGCGAATATGTCGATGTGTTCACCTCCCCACATACATCAAGAGCTTTTAAATCGCTATATACTCGTCACGATGTCGGCTTGAAAGGGCAAAAGAGAGGCGAAAGATACCAAATAGACATTCAAACTCATAGTCAAAAATAAACTCAAAACGATATGGCTAAATAGAAAAAGACAAACAGACAAACGACAGTACACACAACACAACATAGAAAACTAGACCGAGTAATACTTTATGTATCCGAAAATAAGTTACAGTATTTTTTGATAAATTTTGAAATTATTAGGAAGCTATTTTTACAACTCAGTCATGCAAAGTTGGTCTTATGAAAATTTGGCTATTCTTGTTCGGTCTCTTTTTGTCATATAGTTCTTCACGTATTCATGTACTTACACATCCTTGGCTTTCAGTTGTTCGTGTACGACCATTCCTAGTTATTGTAAAGCGTATCAGATGCATGAATTTATATGGTGTTATTTTCATATACATATATACCTTTTTGAAAGAGGGATTTCATAAATAATGTGATACTGTTTACTCGCTTAGTGACATTAACATATGTCGATTTTTGAGACCTTAAAAAAACTTCTGGAAAATTTTAAATCTCGGTCATTCTCTGAAATAAATTATGTCAAAACTTTGACTTTTCAACCCTTAACATTACCATACCACATGAAAAATAATTAACCCACAATGCTTTCCTCCTTGAAAATTGGAATTTACGCTACAAATTTATTATTTTAATAATTTTAGGATGTAAGTCAGCATGTTTTGTTAAAAAAAAAGCCAGAAAATAAAACATGCTACACCCAAGAACAAGTTATCAGTATGCTGGAGTTTCTCAATGACAATATATTTTTTTTGAATTTGAGGTAGAATTTTCCAGTCGGTTTTTGTCGGCATTCCAATGGAAACCAACTGTGCACCTTTCTTGGTCGACCTTTTCTTATCTTCATGATTCGGAGTTCCTTCAAACACTTGTCAAAATACAGGACGATCAAAAAAGCTATCTCATTTAATTTTACATACATGTATATTGATGATGTTCTTTTCATTTACAATGGAAACTTTTCTTATTAGGTCGTAATAATATTATCCTGGACTTGAGGTAAAAGAAACTCGATTTACAGTCTCATTGTCTGCGGACAAAGCTTCAAATAATACTGTCTTTGTATGTAAATCGTACTACTACGAGTGTCTCGTAAACGAATTAGGAATAAATGAGCACTCAGGTAATCCCTCATACAAAAACATATTATTTGACAAGGATGCGATTTTGGCGAATCATAAGTCCTTCATGGCTCAATGAACATTACATTGAACAACAAATCAGAGGACTTACCTTGTTTGTATTGGATACATATGCTTCACAAAATTCCGTACAAACAACGGTACATTGCCGGCTCATCTGCATGTTCGACTAAAGAATTGTCCATTAGATTAACAAAAATTCTGTCCGCAGTGAAAGAATGTCTTCAGAAATACTGTGAAACTGTTTACTCGCGTAGTGGTATTAACCATATGTGGATTCTCAAAAACTCAAACGAATTTCTGGATAATTTTAAATCTCGATCTTTTTCTGAAAATAGTTCTATCAAAACTTTTGATTTTTCAACCCTGTATACCATCATTCCCCATGAGAAATTGAAAAATCGTCTAAAAGAAATAATCCACAATGCTTTTCAGCATAAAAATGGTAGCATACGCCATAAATAATTACTTTGGGATACCATACGGCATATTTTGTTAATAGTGAACAAAAAGGTAAAACATGCTACACAGAGGAACAAGTGATCAGCATGCTGGAGTTTCTTATTGACAAAATATTTGTTGAATTTGGAGGTAGACTTTTTCAACAAATTGTTGGCACGCCTATGGGAACGAACTGTGCGCCTCTTCTTGCCGACCTCTTTTTATTTTAATATGAGTCGGAGTTCCTTCAGACACTTGTCAAAAACAAGAAGATCAAAGAAGCCAGGTCATTTAATTTCACATTCAGATATATTGATAATGTTCTTTCCATTAACAATCCAAACTTTTCTGATTGGGTTGCATTTATATATCCCCCAGAACTAGAAATTAAAGAAACAACAGATACGGCTTCCTCTGCCTTATTTTTAGACTTATACCTCGAATTTGACATACACGGTCATCTCAGTACCAGAATCTACGGCAAACGAGACGATTTTAATTTTGATATTATCAATTTCCTCCACCTTAGTAGCAATATACCAACTTCACATGCATATGGGATATACATTCCCCAACTTATTCGGTATTCAAGAGCTTGCAGCTGCTACTCAGACTTTGTAAAACGTCACCGGTGTCTGAGCAGAAAGTTGATGAACCAGGGGTATGTCAAAGAACATCTCGTCCTTTTTCTAAAAACGTTCATCGGAAGAAACCAAGACCTTGTTGATAAATATTCCGTATCATCTTCACAAATTATACACGATGGTCTTGAAGTATAGATTCTGTGTACTGACGTTGTTTATCATCTTAATAACGTGTTATAGTATTCTTTTGTTTGTCTTTTTGAATATTACTTTTACTGTTTAGTCTATTTTTGGTGATATCCATTTGACGTGGCTCTGTACTTATACATCCCGTTATTGTGCTATGGTAAATTTTTGTATTCTTGTCTTTCCTTTTTGCTAATGTGCTTTGTCGATATGCCTTTTTGTGTTTCTTTGTTACATATGACGTGGCTCTGTACTTAAACATCCCATCATTATGTAATTGTGCTATGGTACAATTTGGTATTCTTGTCTTTCATTTTTGCTAAAGTGCTTTGCCTATATGCCTTTTGTGTTTCTTTGTTACATACTTATTTGTTTTTATAGTGATTAAGATTATAACACAATGTTGACTGCTGTACCCCAATTTTTGACATTTTTACCTATTGTGTCTATTTGTTTTGTTCACACATCGTTGTCAATATAATGGAATTTTATGCGACTGTCATACAAGTGACAGGTTTAGCTAGCTATAAAACCAGGTTTAATCCACCATTTTCTACATAAAAAAATGCCTGTACCAAGATAGGAATATGACAGTTGTTATCCATTCGTTTGGAGTGTTTGAGCTTTTGATTTTGCTATTTGATTAGGGACTTTCCGTTTTGAATTTGCCTCGGAGTTCAGTATTTTTGCTATTTTACTTTTTTCTAGACATATACAAATACATCTCGAATTTGTCGTCTCAGTACCAGAATCTACGAAAAACGAGCTGATTTCAATTTTGAAATTAAACATTTTCCTCACTTTAGCAGCAATATGAATACCAACTTCACCCGCGTATGGAATAAACATTTCTCAACTCATATGATATTTAAGAGTTTGCAGCTGATGCTCAGACTTTGTAATACGTTTTCGGCGTCTGAGCTTAACAATTGATGGCGAATAATTTGTTTGTTTTTTTTTTTAAAGTTTATCGAAAAGTACCAAATAATCAGTGTCTTCTTCACAAATAATACAAGATGTGCGTGCGTTTTAGAATCTAGGTGCTGAGTGCTGAAGTTGTGTATCTGTTTAGTTACTTTACGTTTTCTCTTTATTTATATTTGTGTTATTGTATTCATTTTGGTCGCATGACTCCTGACTTCACTTGGTATTTATGTATCCAACTATCTGGTTTTTATCTTTGGGCGTTCCTAGTGCAAGTGGGTCCTGGTGTGCGATTCAAACTTAAGAGGTTTTAACAATGTTGTTTTCATTTTTTTTACCCTTGCCTTTATATTTTACTTAATTTGTACTTTATTGAAAAAGTGTATACTATATTGTGTTATTACTATCAACTACACACATTTTTTTGTTAACGTCTTTGTCAAATTTAATATCAACGATAACTTTATTTGTTGGCGTCTATATAAGATTTATTTAATTGTATCTTTGTTTGATTGTTTTAGTCAGTTGTGTTGTATGTCTGTGATGCATGTGATGTCTGTTTACACAGTTTTGGCTGTTGGGTGTCAATTTATATCACACTAACATATTATTCTTGTTGGGTTACTCTCCCAATTTTGTAAATATCACAGAACTATAAACAACTGTCATAAACGTCGGAGGTTTAGCAAGCAATAAAACCAGGTTTAACCAACCATTTTCGTCGGAAACTGACTGTATGAATTCAGGAATATGACAGTCGATTACCATTTGTTCCATTTGTTGATAATGTTTAATTTTGAATTGTGTGACTTTTATGTCCCTTTTGGAATAACAGCTCTTCAAGTGTTAAGATTGTATACATCCTTGAATTCTAGCGCTCAATCCAGAAAACGGCTTCCGACGATTTAGTTGTATCAAGATTTTTTTTCAATTATATAGCACTTGGTTGATACCGCTACTAGTAGACTGCTAGTCCCCGGTATTAAATCAGTTAAGTAATCAGTGCTTCTCTAACTCTCCCAGGCAAAGTTGACCGTAGAAAAATATACTTTATTTTTTTGTAACTTTTGGTCGTATTGCTCTACACTTTCAGCACTATTGTGCTATTTCGTGGCGGTCAGTTTTTATTGGTGGAGGAAGCACATCAAAACAATGTCCAGTGGTAGGAAAACTAAACATCCTTGGCAATTAAGATTGGAGTCGAACGTACCTGTCACGCGTGCCGGATTTGAACTCATAACCTAAGTGTTGACAGGCTATTGATGCAATAGTTCGACTGCCTAGACCACTCGGCCACCGGGGTCCCTAACTCGAGAAGAGCAGACAAAGAAAAGAAAAAGGCGAAAAAACATTATATTTTGATTTTTCAATATTTCATTAAACGTGGTCCTTGTAGAATATTTTTTTGTGAAAAACATGATGTCTCGTTTTTCTCTTTTTTTCATATTGTTTTAAACCGTCATAAACCAAAACAAAATAAAAACATTTCAATAAGTGCTTAACTACTGGCGACAAAACTGACATAATAGATTAAAATGTCAAAACTGAGGTACAGCAGTCATGGTATATGGTATAACCGTAATCACTATAAAAAAATAAAACTATGTCAACAAAGAAAACAAAATGGCATGTAGACATCAGCAAAAATGAAAGACAAGAATACAAAAAAAAAATGCCATAGCACATTAACACAAAGGCGGGATGTATAAATACCGAACCACGGCAAAGGATATTACCAAAAATGGACTAAACAGTAAAGGTTTAAAAAATAAGAACACAAACAAAAAGAACACAATAATACGTAATTAAGATGATAAACAACGTCAGTACCTAGAATCTCTACTTCAAGACCATCATGTATTATTTGTGAAGTTGATACGGAATATTTTTAACAAGGTCTTGGTATCTTCCGATGAACTTTTTAAGAGAGTCTGAGACGTTCTTTGACATAATCCTAGTTCATCAACTTTTTGCCCAGATACTGGTGACGTTTTATAAAGTCTGAGTAGCAGCAGCAAGCTCTTGAATACCAAATGAGTTGGGAAATGTATATCCCATGTGCAGTTGAGGAAAATTTATAACTTCAAAATTAAAATCGTCTCGTTTGTGACGTCGTTTACAAATAGGACATTTCTGTGGTTACGAGAAATTGGAACAGCCATTATTTGCCTATACAACGAAAGAATTTATGGTGAAGATATTTGGTCTAGTCCTAGATGAAAAGGTAGCGACAAGATTTATTTATAAGCGTTAGTAATTCATACAGTTCTAAGTACATATGTGTTACAATAACTATAGCTATTTCAAATGACGACTGCTTCCAAACATAATAAAAAAAAACATAGCGACTGTTTAATTTTCTTATCCGTATCAAAACAACGAAGAAATTTAAACTTTTTCGAGGGTACTCGTCTGAGACGATAATGTAATGATTACAAAAAAAACATCCCAAAAGGACAATATTCAGAGGTCAAAATACAATAAGGCTCAAATAAAGTTAAGAGAGCTATATGAAGCCTTGATTATCATTATTCCTCTTATCAAGAGTTCATTAAACATGTTAAATGTAATTCAAAACTATATAAACACTATTTGCTTATAAAGGTTTAAATTTCTATTTTGCACTCGTTTGGGGTGTAAGAGACAAGAGCAATGTCGATCAATAAGAAGGTAAGATATTTTCATTCGGTATTTTTTTCCAAAGGTTAATAAATATAAGTTTATGGGTATAATCTACATTTTTTCTGTTTAATAATATCAGATACTTTGTTTGTTCTTTAATTAATATGCTTTTGTATATAATCTGATATAACATGAACAACGTAGATATCTTGAAACGCTTATCAAATCGGTTTTTTTTCCTGGATAAATAATTATTACATACTGTAAATTTAGAAACTATTACGTGCATTTATAATTGAGGTTTTTGAAAAAAGGACACAAATGCAAGATAAATAATTACGTTTGCAGGAACTGCTACATACAAATAATGTTGAAAAATGTGAAGCGACTTTTATTTTTGCGACACATATTTTGTCGCCATTTTTTGCAATGATTAAACCATCGTAAAAAAATCTGAATAAATAGAAGTGTTAAAAAGACAAATTTCAAAATGTAAATAGAGATTCTTTTATACTTCAAAAAAGATATATTTTAATTCTTTATACACTGTAGAATATTATATAGACGTACTCGCGACGGACGTAAGAAATATATGCCCTTTCTCTGATAAGTTTTAAGTTAAGAAGTGAACATTTATGAACTTCCATAATTCTTATTTAATTTTATATGAAATTCTGTCGGCAGATTGTTTGACAGTTATCGACAGTTAATTACTCTTACGATTTATCGTTGACCTCCATATCGTTGGTGACTTCTTGTTTTTTAATTAGTCTTTTTTTCATTTTAATATCATTATCAATCATAATACTTGTTGTTTTTTTTTTTTTTTGATTTTTTTGTTAAAGCTGTGATGTTTTTGAGAAATTATAAATATGTTTATCAAGGAATAATAACAAATCCTCTATAAATCGATTTGACAAAAATGAAACAGAAATCCTAAGAAATGTTTAACGTTAAACTCTCCTGGCTTTGAATTATTATATTTAATTCTAATTTCTACAAAATTTAACATATTTTGAGCAAAGAGGTAATATAGAAATATACTTGTAAAACGAAAGATAAACGTCAAAAGGGTAGTACATACAGTCATATAAATGAATATTTTCTTTCTTTTAGATGGCATTGTTTATCAACATGACGAAATTTAAGAATTTTGTTCTGTTTATTTTCGTTATAAATGTGAAATGTGCTCTGGTTGTATCCGTATGTAAGTATACGAAACTTTTGGGGTTTCTTTTATTGCTAGCTGAACTCTCATATTCATAGTGCGATTTAGTGTAAGATCGAATGACATTGACATATCGCATTTCATGTCGTAGTCTCTATTGTGACATTTTTACCAAATGTGATGATGTTTTGTTAAAGCCCTTTTTACAATTTTATACTATTACTTTTCATCACACTGTTGTACTCCTTGGTCAGTTTTCAGTGCTTCGGTAGTGACTTATAACATACATTTCTAAAATTCGCCTGTGGAAATTATCTCAAAATTATGGTTCTAACTCCCTCAAGTAAAGTTGACCATAGATGTATTTACCTATTCTTTTATGTCATCTTTGGTCATACAATTCCTTACGTTTCGGCTTATTTTTGCATCTCTGGCTTTTAAATGGTTAGGTTTTGAGCGTTTACGATTATGGTAATCAAGGAAAGCGCGTCGGACGCACAATAGTTGCTAAGTTGTTTTTTTTAATAAGAAAAGATGACTACATCTAAAAATTAATAATAAGAAAAGATTTTAGTAGTAGTGGTTATAGTAATGCCGTAAAAATTCCTTTTTTTATATACTTGAAAAGATGACAATGAACCAATAGATAGTTTGGTAGATGGGTTTCGCCGACAACAAATGGTGATGTCAACAACTTTGATAAATGCAAGTCAAAATTTAGGTCTGCCTGGTAAATTAGCGGAGGCGGAGATGGAAGAAGCTGAGGAACGGGCTATGTTAGGTAGGTTAGGTTCATAATGACAAATGACCTATGTAAAGAGGTTAAATATATACAGACGAACAAGTTTTAATTATTTGTTGTATACGCTTCAAATAGAACTATTTTGACGGTTTGGATTTAAAATGTACAGTTGAATGAGCACTATGCAGCTTAAAATTAAAACTGAATAACATTGTATATACTGAAGTTAGATTTATATATGAAAAATGATCGTAGTGACTTTTCTATATTCTAGACAAAAAAAATCAAACCAATGAAACAGTTACACATACTTATATTGTGTTTTGTTTATCTTTATAGTGTTTGATTTATGAGATATACATGATATACTAATTATATATAATTGCATGATATCTTACATTGAAATTTAAGGATGTTTGTTTTGCAGAATACATTTTATTAAATATGCTTCAGGAGAAATTTTATGAGCAAAAATGTCCACATGTCATGCTTACATTTCAAGGCAAGGTAGAAATTTATCAAGATTAAGTTACGATATGTCTGCATTCTCCGTTGACAGTTCAGTATGCAGTATATATAAATAAGAAGATGTAGTACGAGTGCAAATGAGACAACTCTCCATCCAAGTCACAATGTATGAAAAGTTTACAATTATAGGTCAAAGAGTGTGTCCATCTTAAATGATACTCCCAAGGAGTTAAAATTCTGTTAATGTATTTTTTACTTTTGCTGCGTATAAACAAGCCGTTATAATTCCAAATTCATCATCTTTGTGTCTTTCAAAATGCATCATTGTTTTTGACAATAGAACGACATTCATTTTTTTATATTCTTTTTTTTTTTAGCATTTAGAAGAAAAAACGAAGCTAAGACACCATTTATAGCTACAAACTCCCGCCTTAGTTTGGGATATATCGGAAGAGGTTATGATATATACATGGGAAACCCAGTGAGTGACGATGGTGAAGTTGATCAAGGTTTCAGACTTCCGGTTTTAGATTTGCCGTTTTCCTTTCGTTTTACTAGTGATGGAGGATACAGAATTCCAGATAATGTCGATGTGATTTCTGAAACAAGGTCAGTATATTAACAGTGTTTTCAAAACTTCTTCTGACTCTGAAGTTACTAGCTATACATGACCTATTCAAATGTATAGAGTTTTGTGTGGTAAAATTTTTTTTTTCTGAAGGAATGTATAATTGGCTTTTTACGGTTTCATTGATTATCCAATTGAAATATGAATATATATGTATTTCTCTAATTCTTAGCCGATATATCCTTTTCCTGATCTATGATTATTTTTATTTAATCAACGTGTGATTGTTTGATCTCAGATCTTTATTGGTTAAAATTCAATAATGAAGTCAAATTGTCTTGCTTTACTCTGAATTTCTCATTGTGACGTCATGAAAAAGGCGACCATGCCTGATGGTGTTACATAGAAAAAAACACATATTTTTGCATTTCAGTGGAAAAGAAAAAGTAAGTTTGACTGCATATCGCTTAAAAATCATAAGAGAAACTTATTCTATTACAAAATCTCGTGCAATACGATATTTCTCAATTCTCGACAGTTATATTTTAAATATTTAAAATGCTCGGCGAACCTCGCGTTTAAATTTGAAATTTAACTGTCTCGAATGGATAAATATCGTATCATACTCTATGCAGTGGTAGAATTTATATAATTATAAATATTTTACCAATAACCTTTCCGATGTTAGAAAGAAATATTAAAACTGTTCTTTACGAACTATTGAAACATTAATTCTTTCCATGACGTCATTGCTAATTTTGGAGGGAAACTATTAATTCAACCTCTACATTCATCGCCTGGTGGCAAACGGGGAATGATTATATTTTAGAATCTTCATTTCGGAGTGTCATGCTTTCTCAACACTAGTAAGCTTATCACTGTCTTGGCATATAGTTGTGACATAGATTTATAACAGAATGAATAGAGTAATGTTTAAAGTCAATGATAATTTTATTATATCATCTAGTGTAGCATTTCTGTTAAATTTTATTTTTTAAGTTGATATGCATTTACCAGAGACATTTAATAAAATACCTTAATCTTTTACATGGTTTTATGTTTTAACATAGTTTAAATGTTCATGTAATTTTCTTATATATTTCATTTTGTGATTTCAAATGAGACAGTTGTATACTTTGAAACCAAAGATTTTCCATGAGATGAATATTTAGTGCTCCCCCCTTCATTATGAATTAAACTTTTTTTTAAAAGACTAAAAATTGATTGTAAGTCAATTTCAGTTTATAACAGTCCATGTCTTTGTCCAAATGTTTGTAAGCTATTCTTACCTGACGCCGAACCATATCGATTTAAGGAGTTTTGAGAATCGGTAAACTACTAAGTCAACTAGCACCTTAATTCACATTTGATGACAGTTAAACAACGGAAAACCAATAATATTTCATCCATATAACGGAATTATGATACAACTGATTATAACAACAATTGACTGAAATATAAAAAAAAAAAAATACATGTAGGTGATAAGACTACTCAAATTTATGTTAACAATCAAACAATGAGCATTGATTAACGATTAGATCACGATAGGGAAAACTTTGTTTATATTAAAGTAAGAATAGTATTGGCAACGAAACAACTATCAGCCAGACAACCAAATAACGTAGATGATAGCAACTAATTCAGTCAGCTAGAAAAGGATTGTTTTTGTAAAATTGACTATTAAAAACAGAACAACTGTAAATACTTGGGTGGGTAAAATGTTAAAAACACCAATGCTGTTATTTAGAACACAAAGCAGCAACTGTTGAATGATTTAACAATGTCAGGTGAAATTTGAACGGTCTATGAAAATTTTCAATGTTCAACAATTTCTATAGCTCGTCTTGGTAAAGTCGATCTTGTGTAAAATCTCTCAAAATATGTCAGACTTATAACAGATAAATTATGGTTTAATTTGTAGCGAATATTATTTGGCTTTCTTTAATAACACCCCAGTTTATAAGATTTTCGGTCCATCATTAGATCTGCTTTCCCTTCCGGAGCACCGGAAATTACCCCTGGTTTTGGTGGGTTAGTTTTCCTCAGTCTTTAGTTTTTTTTTTTTTTTTTTTTTTGTTGTTTGTAGATTATTGTTTGTCTTTTGGTCATTTTTTTGTTTTTTGCTATTGCCTTGTCAGTTTCGAATATATCTATATAACCATAATTAATCTTGAAAGAAAAAAAAAATATGTGTTTACCAACCAAAAGATATGGGGTTCAAAGCTTATTTCTGATGTTATTCAGGTTATTCATAATATTTCAAAAGTGTATTTACATTAAAAAAAAGTTCCTCAGTATACAATGAAAGAATCACATATCTTTATATATTAGTAATCCAAATACCATAGTGTGATTAACTGGCTGATCCTGTGTTTGCCCTGGTATAGATTTGATATCAGTTGTATTGGCCTAGCGACCCAAAGAGTCATTGATCAGCACAGCTGGTCGAAAATATTAGTTTATATCGTGCTGATTTACCGTATTAAGGCTGATTTGATAATGTCATTTGATAATTGAGAGTATAGTTATTTCTTTACAACATCGCCTGTACTTATGATTGCAAGAGCCCTTCCCTTATAGTCCATACTTTTCTCAATAGTTTGTTCTACACTGCCAAGCTGCACTGCTTTGACAGCATGGAGTTCAATCTTGCAATGCATAGTCCATCAACCCTTTCCAAATGTGATGATACAAAAATATGATAGCGTTATATTTATAGTTGCTGTGCATGTACTGATTTTGTGTCATTATAAGCTGTAGGTATTTATTATTTTCCTAAATGCATTTATAGATAGTTCAAAAACACAATGAGGCATTACGTGGTCAGATAGATTCTGGTCTGTTAAAACTATGTTACTATTTTGTCAAAAATCTGTAAAAACGGATATTTTGGCAAACCTGACTTGCCATTAATTTTTCCTGGGAAGGACAATGCAGTAACATGTACCTCCAGCAAATATTGATTGGTTTCTGTAACTTTAAGATAACAAAGGAACGACAAAGAAACAGTTGAATCAATGTTCACTTCTTAAGAAGAACAATTTTAAAAAGTCATTTTAAAAATAAATCTGTTCATATGGAAGGTAACGAACAAAAACTCGACATTCAATGATAGCTTTACTGAAAATTTATCAAGGAAATAAATAAAATGTACAAATAAGAGCTTGCCTTGTCCCATTTGTGTCTTATTTCTTTAATTTATAACATCTCTTTTAATAACTACAAACTCTTTATACACAGTGCATCATTTGGATCATCTTACCATCAGGTAAAAACAGAAACAGACTATAAAAGTATGCTTCAAGTGGATGTATCCGTAAGTTACAATTGTAAATATTGTATTATACATATTGAGAAAAGGCAATAGTTTCAGGTAGTTGCAACGACAAGAGCATTCGACAAGGTTCGCACGGGAGCAGATTCAATAAAATAAAACATGTAGCACTAAGGAGTACAATCCATAAAAGGATTTCACAAACCCGTCTAAAGTAGACCGCGCCTTTAGGAGTTGTAACCAAACTAAACTACTATCTTTTGAGTGAAACAAATTTGGATCCTTAAAGAAACGTCCATTGATAAATACACATCTATGTGAAATGTAAACGACACCCGCTTTTACGATTGAGAATTAATAAACTCGCATTAACACTTATATATGATAACCTTTCAGGTAAATGCAGCAGCAAGTGGATTTGGAAAGAGTGGGAGTTTTAGTGCTAGCGCTTCCTATAAAAAAGCAGTTAAAGAGGTCACTAAAGGAGACACGACAACTTCAGAAATAGTCGGCCGTGCTATTGTGTACAAAGCAAGATTGTCATCAACAGGGACAATATCGAAGGTAAATATATTAAGAGTTTTAACTCATGTGTAAACTTTAAATACCGGTATTGCATCAATATTAAACTAAACCCATAGAATTTAATAGAATTCAAGCAATGTTCCATCAACCCTCTATTCGTTCATTTTGTAACTTATCTTACAAGTTCCATCTTAGTTGGTACCGATTTCTACCATCAGTTCAATACTGAAGCATGTAGACTATTGGTCCCCGAGGGTATCACTACCCCCGTCATGAGTGCACGAGTACTTAATGCACATATGGATTTTCTTTATCGAAATCTGATGTTAAAAATTCGGAAAACGTTTTGTTATAAAACGGAATATATCTATCTTGTACGGGTTTGTTTTACTTTTGGTCCTTTTTGGTTTTAGTAGCAACTCAACGTATGTTATAGATCTTAGATTTTTAATTATTTAAGTTTTGATCATGATTAGAGAGCAGCTTTCGATGTAGTAAATACGGTACCGTTATTGTAAATACTACAACTTGACTATATGCATGGCGAGTGATGCATACAAAGCAGAAAACAATACTCTGTCGACGCATCAGGTCTGACTCCTTTTTGATTTCATGCGATTCCCTAGGTTTTTGTATGCTACATTGATTTGTTTTCTCCTCCTAATCGATTTACTAGATTTTAAAATTAGTAAACTACTATTGCCCTAATTTATTGTTATAAGAATGGACATCAATAAATTTGAGGAATAATTTTCCTCAAGCAAAGCTGTGATATCATGTCTTGATTCGTTATACGTTTTGCTACTTTGAAGTTTAAAAATATAAAAGACGACTTAATCTTTAATATAAACATAGGAAGATGTGGTATGATCGCCAAAGAGACAACTCTCCACTAGAGATCATGTTAACGTAGTAGGTCAGCAGCTATATGTCACCGTACGGCCTTCAACAATCAGCAAAATCCAAACTGCATAGCAAGCTAAAAGAGGCCATAAAATGACAAATATTAAACAATTCAAACTGATGAATTACAAACTGGTTTATGAACAAAATAATAAACTAAAAACAATTATACATTCTGTATGTGCCTGTCCTAAGTCAAGAGCCTGTAATTCAGCGGTTGTCGTTTGTTGCTGTGTTACATATTTTTTATCGTTCTTTATTTTTACATAAATTAGGCCGTTAGTTTTCTTGTTTGAATTGACTTACATTTGTCAATTCGGGGCCTTTCATAGCTGACTATGCGGTATTGGCTTTACTCATTGTTGCAGGCCGTACGGTGACCTATAGTTGTTAATTTCTGTGCCATTTGGTCTCTTGTGAAGAGTTGTCTCATTGGCAATCATACCACATCTTCTTTTTTATATTAACTCATCCGATAGAAACAAAACACAACAGGCAAAGTACATATCTGAGAGTACTCGCAGTTACTGAAAGCTACTTTCAGAGCCCCGGCGATCACTCCTGTTTTAGTGAAGTTTGTGTTGCTATGTCTTTAGTTTTCTAGGTTGTATATTATAGACTGTCGTTTGTCTTTTCGCCGTTTTCATATTGATGGCGTTGTCAGTTTGTCTACGACATGAAATTTAATTGAAAATTTTAACATGGGTAGGCACTATTTTGTAAATGTTAATTTTGACGTCAATCAAGTGCAGCGCATGTTTTATTGAATTAAGAAGATGACTTTCTTTCTAAGGAGAAGGCAAAAGTCATATACAAATATATCTTTGGTACCTTACGTCCTCTTTATGAATCATTAATGATCTAAGCTTGATTTTCGCAATTCTCAAATGGTAAATCAATGTTTACAAATCAACACTTGAATTTAAAACGGGATTAAACCAACCCAGTTTGTGTCTATGTACAATAGGTTATTTATGATAATGCGCTATTAAATGGTGTTTTTTGTTTGTCTATTATTTCGAAGGATTCGGGATTTTGGTGGTTGGAGTAATCTGTTCTACTCTTTAATATTTTTTTGTGATTACTGTTTACCTTTCTTAAAACATTTTTAGGTGAGAGAAAACTTTCTAACATATTGATTCTTATTTTTTAAGCTAAGCGATTTCTTCGAAGATAATATAAGAGCCTTACCAAGTGAAAATTGTGAAGAGGACGTGATACAACAATTGTACATCCAAGTAATCGAACAATTTGGAACTCATTATACAACGGAGGTTGTCATGGGAGCAAAGGCAGTACAGGAATTTAAATTCAAGAACTCAGATCTCGATAAATTTCAGTCAGTTGGCATCTCTGCCAAGGTGTGATTTACACTTAGCACGTGTTAACTTTGATCTAAACTCGATATGATTTTGGTGTCCTCAACACGTAAACCAAATTCTACTACGTCCCCATTGTGACAAAAGTCATGTTTATACGAAGTTCAATTCTGATTTTAATAACATGCAGTCGATAGTCAATGTAGGTGTGGTTGGGTTAAGTGTACATGGAAATAGATGTTCAGAATTTGAATTTTATTATGGGTATCTTCCAAAGATACATCTATTCAATACAAAAAAGTAAAATACTATTAAAAAACAATTGATGGGTAACTTATTAGGAAACGTTAAGTACTATTACACGTTGCTTTTATTACCCCAATTAGAACACAAAGCAGTCATTATACACTTCAGTCAATTAAAAAAAAATTCCCCAAATTGAGGGGTTGAGAAAATGAGCATTACTAAATCTATGGCAGCAGGACAATGTACAGGAACACTTTATATTGTATAGCAGGAAAATGAAAATGAGGGAGGACAGGACATAAAAGTTAAAATGCATTAAAATCCAACGTTGTTGAAGTAACCTGCACATTTTGTTTTGGCATTATAAAAGAACATCAAAGGAGAAAAACGGTGTCCATAAGGCATCCACCATTCATATTTTAATTTTTTTCTGGCATGGTTGGGGATGGGGGTTCATATGCTTATTTTCTGGTGACAAATAATTTGTCTCGACGTTGAGTTTATTTGTTTACCTGAGTTTCAATTATTAGATAAGGTACGACAATATATTCTTTAAAAGCACTGCAAACACATTGGTACAAAGAATGGGAATATAAAACATAGTATACAAAATAAATAATTTGTACACAGGACAAGATAATAATATTTGATTGGCTATACACGTTCGTCTAATTATTATACTACAGGTGGGCTAAGGTAGAACAGGCAGACCTGCTAATGAATGTATAACCTTTATAAAAAAAACATTTATTTATCATCAGAAATTGACTACATTGAATCATTTGTGAATTAAACAAATTATCATAGAAAAAATCCCATTTCCCCCGCCGAAACAAAAATAATCTATAGTCGGTGCCTACTGCTACAGAAATTGATAAATAAATTTTAATTTAAAATCTATGTAGTGTACATTTAGATACTTGTACATGCAGTGTACTGATGTGAATAATTCTCATGTATATGTAATTAAAACCGATGTAGGTTGCACTTCTGTAAATATAGACAGTGCACTACTTTTTTATTCAAAGGTCAATTCAATATTTGCTAAATAGATGATATCTTCCCTTTTAATAATTTAGATACGTCGAAACATTAGGAGCTATATGACCAAAAGAAGCTATATGGCCTAAAAAGAAGAACAAATACCAACGACATCTTAATTTAGGCTCCTGAATTTTCAACTTTTATAAAAACATATACAGAATCAACAGAATAACTAATGTTAGGAAACTTGTTTCTAAAATATGTGCTGTGCAAACTGAAGTTGATGTGTTATGTTCACATTACTTTGAATTTCAAAAAATAGTATAAAGTAATAAAAACAAAACTATCAGGTAAGATTTAGTATGACAAATATCAAATTTTTGTTTATAAACTATTTCAATTTCAGGAATAAGGTGTGCACAATAACAGGTCAACGTTTGGTTTCAATGATGAGCAAAAACCCATCATATATAGAAAAAGAGAGGCAAAAGATACCGGAGGGACATTCAAACTCATCAGTCGATGACAACGACATGGCTAAAAAAGAAAAAAAACAAACAAACAAACAATAGTACACAAAACACAACATAGAACATTAAATACAGAGCAACACAAACCCCACCAAAAATGGGGTGATCTCAGGTATTCCGGATGGATAAGCAGATCCTGCTCCACATGTGGTACCCGTCTTGTTGACTGTTCTCTCATAAAATAGTTGTTAACAATATTATTTTAAAAAGCAATATTATATATTATATCTAAACAATGACCGTGAACATGTATTTCTTTCAAAAGGTAGCAGCTCAGGTGTCGGTCAATCAGGGAGCCTATTCTGTAAGTGGAGGCTTTCGCGTAGGCATTAAAAGCAATGAAGAAATGAGAGAAATGGTATCAAGTACTGAAAAAGAGCAAAGGGAATATTATATCGGTGGAAGTCCTCCTTCAGGTGATTACAGTGCAGGATCTACTGAAAGTTTAAGAGAATGGGCAAGATCTGCAGCTGAAAATCCTGCACCTATTCAATATAAGCTATCGTCCATTGATTCACTAATTAGCCCAAAATACTTCAAAAAGAAAGAAACAGGTATGTTATGGAGCACTAAACGCATTTTTAAATTGAAATATATTTCAAATAATACAAAACAAAAGACTTTTTTGCAGAATGGAAGATAAATTAAATTAGTTACTCGAAATGTAAATTCCCTTTACTTACATTTTGCACAACATGTCAGAACTGTAAAGCAGCACCAAATGCTTAGTAGACAAAACAATAATATTAGACAATATCGTCCACAAATGTTTTTCTTTAGTTCGAGGTTATTACAGATGTTTTGATTTTATCACTAAATCTAAGCTCATTTATCAATAAAAAGGTGAAGATTTCTGAGCTTCTTTTCCGATTTGCATATATATATATATATATATTCTGTGACTGTATTTCACGATCCTTCACCGATGATATTTAGCTAATCTGCAATCAATTCCATCTTCATGCCTAATATATAATGTACTTTGTTACAACACTAGATTCTACTGACGAGGAAAGGTAACACTAGGCCACCGAAAGCTGAATTACTAGTTCAGTATAGGTGGTCATGTGGTCTAGAGCGCTGGACACAGTGCATGCGGTGTTGTCTCGATATCCCAATAGCATGAGTTCGAATTCCGGCGAGGGAAGAACAAAAATTTGCTTCCGCAAATTTGCAGATTTAACATTGTTGTGCCGATATTTAGAGTAATTATGAATATAATATGTGTTTTCAGCCGTGTATCACCTTCACTTGTAATCCTATGGATGGATCTGTCGTAGAGTTGTCACTTGTTTAGATGTACTTATCCAAATAATTATTTCTTTGACTGTATCTTACGATCCTTTAAGATGGATATTTAGTTAATCTGCAATCAATTCCATCCTCATGCCTAATATATCATGTACTGTGTTAAAACTCTAGATTCTACTGACGAGGAAATGTAACACTAGGCCACCGAAAGCTGAATTATTAGTTCAGTCTAGGTGGCCGTGTGGTCTAGAGCGCTGGACACTGTCGAGGCGGTGTTGTCTCATTATCCCAATAGCATGAGTTCGAACCCCGGCGAGGGAAAAACAAAAATTTGCTTTCGCAAATTTGCAGATTTAACATTGTTGTGCTGATATTCAGAGTAATTTTATATATATATATGTAAAAAAGATATATTAACCTCTATATGTCAATTTGCCCATTCGCGTGTCCTTTTGTTTATAAACTATTTTTATTTTTGCATTTATTTGTTCTGTATTCCTTTCATGTAAGGGTGTCATTTTATTGTTATATTTAACATTGCCATAAAAGTGCGAGGTTTGGCTAGCCACAAAACCAGGTTCAACCCACCATTTTTTTCTTAAAATGTCCTGTACCAAGTCAGGAAAATGGCAGTTGTTATCTTGTGGTTCGTTTTTGTGTGTGTTGCATTGTCGTTTGTTTTTTGTTCGCTTCAGTGTTTCTGTTTCGTTGTTTTCCTCTTATGGTTGATGTGTTTCCTTCTGTTTTGGTTTGTAACCTGGATTTGGTTTTGTCTCTATCGATTTATGACTTTCGAACAGCGGTATACTACTGTTGCCTTTACTTTGTAGTGTCAATGACTGATTTTGATCAAATATTTTGTATATTATCTTTCAGGAATTTCTATTTTGATAGTAGATCATATTATATATCAAATCATTTGTAAAATAAGATGTTCAAGTGCTTTACTTATTGTTAGGATACTTGCCCACTGTTGAATACAGATAAAATCAAAAACAACAATCTATAAATTTTATATGCGTCCGAACTGCTTTTCTGAATTCACCTCCTTTACTAAAGCCAAAAACAATAGAAGCCAATGTTACATAAAACCGACACACTTGAGGAGCTATATGACCAAACAGGACCAAACATAATATTTAAATCATTCTAAGTTCAATTTTGATAGACGGAGTAGGAACACATTTCCCTACATATGGTTGTTTTTGTTTTTTTATTTATATATTATGTATGTTTTATGTAAGTTTTAAATATGATTTCTTCCTTGGCACAATTTGAAGAAAAGTGACTATATTTATCGCACCAATGTTATTGTTTTCATAAACTAAGGATACCACAGCGACAGTCTGATAAGCTCCAAATGTAGACTTACAATGAGAAGGTCGTTTGAATACTGAACCTAACGACAAAACAGATGGCATAACCGCTTTCATTGCAGAATTTACTTCAATCTTTTTGTTAATAGTTTTCTTCGATCGTTTTGCGGACGCCTATATAATTAGTGGTATGATAGTAATGGACTAACTGTGTCCCATATGACCAGGGATATGTTCCATTCATTAAAGCCATATAATCGAACACACAGAAAGTCAAATGATTGTCATCATGCATCCGAGTTTGACCCAAATTTATGTGCGATTGTACTTGCTCAATATTCTTGTTTTTTTGTTTGTTTTTTACCGTCTAATCCAGTGCCATTTACAATCAGAAATTTGTAATACTTTGATTGTCGTTCCAGGTTTTTTTCTCTCCTTTTAGTCGTAGTGTTAACAGCCGTTAGACTTGTAGTTGTTAATTTCCCATTGGCTATTCCCCTACTTGCAAATGCAATAATTGAAATAAGTTCTAGTAGCAGGAGATTAAGTTTATGACATATGTTATGGGATCGCTTCTGATTTATTGTACTGTTTTATTGACATTTGTTTGACGTTCTTAACGTAAAACTTATTCTGTTACAGGATTGTTCGAGAAAAGACAATGCTTCCGCAAAGCTCTTTTTCGTTACTGTCTCTCAACAATAGCAGCTAACCATTGTAGTTTGAAATCTGAGTCTACCATTGATGGCAATCCAAGTACATTTAGGTAATTAGGACTTTTTTTCATTTTCAAAAGATGATCATAAGATATTGAGAAAGTGAGGACCACAATTTTGTAAAGAGATTTAATGCTGTGTAGATTAATGAAAGGAAAAGCTGAATCAAATTTTATGGATTAACTAATTTCTTTTTCTTTCTTTGGTGTTTGCAATTTTCAATTTGTACTATATAATTTCTTGTAGATATGGTGATTTTGTCACATTAAGAAATAGGAATAGATATTTATCACTCTCACAACATTATGGAATATCCCCTGGAATGACAATGAGGCCGTTAACCACAGGTACTAAATTCTACGAATTATTTCTATAAATCTAAAAATAGAAATAACACAATATTTTGTGTGTTCTTAGTCTTTTTAATGGATGAGCGTAGTTTCATGCTTTGGTCAACAAGGAGAACATTTTAACATCACAGCTTAATTTAGTAGTTTAATAAAGAAAAAAAACTATAAGGTTTACTTTGATTTAATAATCCTATAGCTTTTTAATACACTATTACAGAAAAGTGGAGAAGATATCCCAAAGAAACCTCTAAAACAATAAATAAAAACGCAAATAACAAATTGCAAATTAGACCAAACGACGAAAAGTAAACAAACCATTGTACGAAACACTACAAAGAAATGTAAGGACTGAGCAAATCGAACACCGTCAAACACAAATGTGTACCAAGATGGTCCAGAATGGTCAGCATTTCTTATTCTTATAATAAGATTAATCCACCGTATTACACTTGTATTGATATGCTGAACATAAGTGTATCATATCTAATATTCTGTTTGTTCGTAGTTACAACAGTAACAAACTATGATGGACTATTCCAACTTGTTTCGCCTGATGGAGCCAACGACAAGTTGGGATTAAATATGCACTATGGAGAACCATTCCTTCTAAAGACAATTGAGGTAAAAAGCAAGAATATGTAATAAAAAGCACGATAATGTACTTAAAATATCACAATAAATAAAAGTAGTCACCATTAACCAGTTTGAACGTAGTATACTTTTGTCTCCAAATCATGAGGTGATATATTAACAGGTAATTACGACAATGCTAAATCACATGAGACATATTGAACGAGGGCAATATGTTTCAAACACCTCTTCAAATTCAAGCATCATCCGTACTGCAACCCAAAAGGTATATCAGGCAAAGTGTGAAACCTGTCATGAAGTTTGAACAAACATGAACAGGTAGGAGCTTTGAAATATATTACATGTCTCTGGTCACAAATCTACTAAGCAAGTGTATTCAAACGTTTGTCCTTGGTCAAGCTTCAGTAAAGGAAAATTTAATTTATCGATTGTTCGTGAATTTTAAGATGTCTTGCTATTAGAAAAGACATATGCAAACCCGTTATTGTAAGATGCATTATCACATAAAATGACTTTTCGTGTAATTAAACAGGAGTAAAACGGCGGGTGTCTGTAGTGGAGCTTGAACCGCCAATTTCCTAAGAACACTTTAGTTCATTAATGGTTTATATCGGAGTTCTTGTTGCTAAATCATTTATTTTCTGTTAAATTCTTTGTTGACTGTTGTGTTATATCGTTTTGTTTTGTTTCGTCAACTTTGTCTTTTTTCGACTCGTAGTTTTCCATTCGTGTATTTGGCTTTGTATATTCCTTATAAGTTATAATTATTTGCAAGTTTAGATTAAGGCAACCGTAGATTTTTGAATGATCAAGTCTAATAATTCGATGAAGAAGACAACCCAAGGCAAGAAATAAACACTGATGGAATCGAATGAACTTCAAAGATCGTGTTGTGTCGTCAGGGTAGGCATCTCTTCCTATGCTGGCATCTTCAGCCATGCGAATCCACTCTAAGGTAAAATGTAACAATTGAGAAAATTATGCAATCTGTATGATTACAGATAAGACGACTTTTCTGGTGTTCTTGCGTTTATTTGTACTGTATTCCTGTCACGTAATGTTGTCATTTTAGCGGAATTTTTAACATTGCATATAAGCGGGAGGTATTGCTAGCCATAAAACCAGGTTCAACACACTAGTTTTTCTTAAAATGTCCTGTACCAAGTCATGAATATGGCAGTTGTTATCAAATAGTCCGTTTCTATGTATGTTGGCGTTTGTTTTTGTAGCAGTTCAGTGTTTCTATTGTTCCGTTGTTTTCCTCTAGTGGTTGATGTGTTTCCCTCGGTTTTGGTTTGTGACCCGGATTTGTTTCAGCTAAATCGATTTATGACTATTGAACAGCGGTATACTACTTTTGCCTTTATTAAGCTGTAAGAGTGCAAAAACATGTCACTAATGAGATGAGACACTAACATAATTACTTCAATAACAAAAATCAAAATATTTGAATTGTTTTTCCTCTGCACTAGCATTCATTAATGTGGATTGAAATAGTATTTACAATATCTAATCGGTTTCCCTCCGGAATGTACCTTATCTTTTTAATTTAGTAAATAATTACAAGGCATGATAATTTTCTTCAGGGTGATATGCTTCATATTGGAAGATCGCTGATATTAAATAATGACGAACCAGAAGAAACAAGACTACTGAATTTATTTACAAACCAGGATGAAGTTAAGTAAGTCTCGTGAAAATTTACGTCATTGTTTTTTCAAGTTTTGTTTATAAAGTTGTTTTATGTTACCACTTTGGAATACTAACAGTTTACAAATAAATCATGAATAAGTTTCTATAGTGACATTTGAGGCCAAATTATTACTGTTATATTTTTTAATGGCCGCATTACAAGTTAGTAGGACTGTTTACTGCATGTAATTGACCATGTGTTTTGTCAATGAGTTTCACTCTGTCAAAACGATCAACACACATATTCCATTACTCAAAACTCAGATGGACGAACAACCCAATATTTGCGATTGTTTATTGTTAGTTTCCCTATGTTATAGAAGGTGCGCTAGATTTCAATCGCAGTTACCAGGATTGTCAGTTTTCATACCGAAAGTCGGTAGTTCTCTTTGGACACTCCGGCTTCCTCTACGAATAAAAACCGACGGCCACGAAATAGCACAATAGTGCTGAAAGTGACGTTTAACATCAACCAATCAATCAATCAATCAATCCATCCATAGGGTATTACATTAACGTGTTCCATTTAATGCAGTATACCAGAGCATGATAACAATTGTCCAAATATAAGTACACTTGTTAGTAAATTATCACGACATGTTTAACAGAAAGAAAAACAGTTCTGTAAATTTCAAAGAGCGCTTTCTTAAATTGGATAGTTATAAAAGAGACTCATTGTGTTATGCATGAGCACATATGACATACTAATCTCACATGACAAGTATGGTACAATTGTTGTCGGTTTGGTGATGCTATTTACTTAGTAACCTTATCGCAACATAATAACAGATGATGCATACAACTATTTTGATTAGTTAGTCTTACAATTCGTGTCCATTTCGATACTGTTTTCCTTATAAAAAGGTGCATTGTCATTTTGTCAGATTAAACTCATTGATTAAAAAATCAATATAGATCCATGACGGTAGAACATGGTAGCTCTCTTTAAATGTTTTTCGTTTATTGTTTTAGCACAAATAATGCCGTCGGATTTCCTCTTTTTAATTTTTATCTCTCCATTCTTTATAACTTACTATTCGGTAGTGGTTTTGATCGTTTTTGAAAAATGTATGCAATTTGTAGTTCATGCCTGTCTCTTGTTGATACTTGTCTCGATGTCAGTCATACCAAATTTACTCATCGTATGTGGAATATCTAAAAGATAATATTGATTCTTAATCGTCTGTTTTCAGGTTTCGCTAGTTATTTTTAACTCTACTGTTTGTGATGGACATCTGGATTATTCAAAAACTACAGATCAAGTACATGTATTCTAAAGAATAATTGATCGTCGACGAACTTTTTACTGTTCTTTGTTTCATTTAGTTAACAGCATGTGGTTGCCAAATTCGAAAACTGAATAACAATCTTTCTTTATTGTTAAGCTATTTACAGTAAGGTTGTTAACATATTAAAAGAACGCAAATTACAAGTTAATGTGATTGGTGTGACGACAAAGGAGATACGATTTTACAGTTTGCAAACAAACTTTTACGGAATCGTTTAAAAGTTAAAACAAAATATTATTGTAAATTATCCGTTCAATTCTAAACCTGCATATATGATCGGTACGTATAAAACAATACTTTTAAAATTGTTATTTGTATTTCAGGGTTGTAAACATCAGCTATAGCCCAGTCACAGATTATTCCATCTTCCTAAAGAACGAGCATGGTAAGTAATTCGAAATGAGCACGAAACAGAGACGTATTGTAAAATAAAGCAAAGAGGTAATTACCATAAGTTGTACATTTTATCTACATTATCAAAGGAAAAAGTTTTTAGGTAAACAGGTTGCTCAAATTAAAAGATATATAGTTTAGATTGTAAAGATTGTTCTTACATTTGTATGTTTCATTTAAATTGCATTAACTTTATTTCCTCTTATTTGCATATGCATGTTATATGCACTTTGGAATACCATATTTTAGAAATAGCTGACATTCCGGAATTCTGTGACGTTGGATTTTGTATTTTATTTTCATCACAGTACAGTCTGCACTGATTAAAATGTTTTGTTTTGAGGTTTTCTTCACATTTCGTATAATATGTCACATCGCAGTCGGGAAAGTAGATTCAATCACACAATCAATGACTATATGATACTATTAAATATACTTCTACAGCAATGATACCAGTCACGTATTTATTATCAGGAACAACATTGAAAATAAAACAGTTCTTCAGAATAGCAACCTCGCAGTATCCTTTTCTCACAGTCACACATAAAGTTTCTGATACATATATTACATTCCTTGTATAAACGCTTTGAAAGGAAACAGAATAAACCGACTGACGTTTAAGACATTAAGGTAGATAGGGTGTCTTCCTCCATCTTGGATTTTGTAATACCTGAAAACAATCGGTCTAGATCTTTAATAGAATGTGCAAATTTTGAGAGTAGTAGGTAATTCATGTGTAAGAATTTTCATTTCAATATAGAAAATGATATGTTTTAGCATATTTATGGTTGTATTTTACAAAAAACAGAAAACTTTTGTTTGATTCAATTTTTTCCAACTTTGCCACATAAGGGGAGGCAACTCAAATGTAAGGGCAGATAATTCAGATAAAGGTATTTTTACAATAGAATGTGTTAGGAATTTACCTATTTTATCATGTAGCAAGAAAACGGGTCCGGTGACCCCATTTTTTCTTTTTCTTATCTGAAAGCATACTATTAAAGCTATCTTCTCATATTTTATCTCAAAATTCTATGGTGTAGTTTTCGTTTTATGGCAGAAAATTGGGTTTTCCATGCATAATCTATACAAAATCTGTTAATTTTGAACAACCTGTAGCGTGAAAATAAGCCCCGTGACCCATTCTTTTTATCATTTTTTTTTTTAAAAAGCTTGATATAAACTACATTTTGGCAAATTATTAAAAAATTCTATGGATTATAATTTAGACACCCCATCTACCTTAAACACGTAAACGATGACAATTTCATTCCGATATATTAGAAGATAAGCGTGTCGAAATCTTCATTCCCTAACACTTTTTATGTAAGGTAACACTAAAAGCACAATCAAAATAAATAAACATTAATGCAATGTGTCAAATATAAAGATACAAGTTAAAAAACAGTGGTTATTTAAAAGGTTTATTTCGGTTGGGTAACTGTCCTTCTGACATATATCCTACATCATTGTTCATTAATATAATATATATTCTTGCTTTAATATATCAAAGGCATAAAGTACTGTATTTTTGTTAATTTGTTTTCATAATCTATAGTACTTCATTTTGATGGCATTGTGGAAAAGTCATCAATTTGGATTACGATATTTTTCTTCTTTTTCAGCGTGTTCTTATCTAATAACCCTGCGATCCCATTGTTATCACAACGTAGTGAAATATTACCAAGTACAAATGTTAGGTTCTCAAGGTACAACCAGCAATACTATAACTGTCGGCAACATAGATGAATGCGTCTGCCCAAATAAAAGTCCCTGTGGCTCATTTTGGTTCCATACTATCGCAACAGATCAAGATATTGGAGATATACACACTGTTCGAATAACGGTAAATGCAATATGTTAAGGACGTCTAATAGACATCACAAATGAAATGTCTGAAAAAGGTTCACATTTATTTATTAATACGATTAACATAACTTTGAAAGAATTTAGTAAATATACTATCTATGGCCAGATCATGGATATTCTCTTATGATTGTGGCCTGTTATCAATTTCTTGCATGAAGGGATATTTCTTGTATCACACTGCATGGCGTGTGATCTGAACAGGTGATACGACAACTGCGTTGATTTTGATTGGCTTGTCGAGCATCAGGAGATGATATTACGACATTGCCATTGGATATTCGTTAGGTCAATGTTAACTTTTAAACGTTAAGGCGATGTACATTTCGTCCATGGCAACGGATATTTGTGATTTCTACAACAATATACAAAGCTTACACATTTATCACCTGGACATCTTCTTTTAATAAAATTGTATTACAATGTACATTCTGAAGCGTAACAAATATTTTGAATGTCTGATGTTCATGTTTGACGCCGGACAAGGACATATTACGTCATACTGATATGTGCAAAATCATAGATCAACGATTCGTGGAATATTTTGTTTTCGCACAATGAGAGTGTTAATATAAGAAAATAGGTTTAACAACTTGACCGAATTGTCTATCGCTTGATATCAACAATCGTTATTTAATTTGAATAGTAATAATAAACTGGCCAAAGGCTCGTTTATTATTATATTGAAATTAAATAACTCGCTATGAAATCTATAAATATCATCTTTTCTCCTTTTTGCATTCCGGACGCAATGCGCACCTAATAACTGGACATAACATAATGTGATTATTTATAATGTCTTTACATATTAGTCACGCACATGAATGTTTAGGAATCATTTCTTTGACATCATCAAAATTAAATTGCGAATGGAAATGGGGAATGTGTCAAAGAGAAAACAAACCGACCAGAGAGCAGATAACAGCCGAAGGCCACCAATTGGCCTTCAACACAGCGAGAAAATCCCGCACTCGGAGGCTGGCCCCTAAACAAAAATGTCTACTAGTTCAGTGAAAATGGACGTCATACTAAACTCCAAAACATATAAATGAACTAAAATTAAAAATCGTACAAGATTAACAAGGGTCAGAGGCTCCTGATTTGGGACAGGCGCAAAAATGCGTCGGGGTTAAACATGTTTAGTGAGATCTCAACCCTCCCCCTATAACTCTAGCCAATGTAGAAAAACAAAACCACAACAATACGCACAGTAAAACATAGTTTAAAAGAAGTCCGAGTCCGATGTCAGAATAGGTAACAAAAAAAACTAAGCAAAAGGACATAAATTAACAAAGGACTACTAGCAGTTACTGACATGCCAGCTCCAGACCTCAATTAAACTGATTGAACGATTATGTCTTCATCACATGAAAATCAAGCAAAATCCCTCCCGTTAGGGGTTTAGTATCATACTATCATAAAATATATGAGAAGAACATAACCCGTATCATGACAACAACTGGTTTTAAAATAAATGTGTTTATTTCCGATGCAAAGACCCTATGAGTGAATCAATATTAATACTAAAATATGCAATCCTTAATGACCTGACAACAGTATCGTAACTATATCCCTTCTGAATAAGTCTGTTTAAAGGTTTTGTTAGCTTTTGAGGTGGATGCCGACATTTTTGTGCTTTGTAAAGAATATTACCATAAAAAACATAAAAGATTGGAAGTGAAATACCTGAACGTATAAGATGTCTACATGTTGATTTATATTTACGAATGATGTCCTTGTACCGATAATGTTTTGACTAGTTTGTGATATCGAAAACCCTGGTGTAATAATTTTTCAGTAATACAGAGATTTCTTTCGTTAAAATCAAATACGTTGTTACATACACTAGCGAACCGAACAAGTCGGTTCGTGTTGCTTAGTCTTTAGTTTTCTATGTTGTGTCATCTGTACTATTATTTGTCTGTTTGTCTTTTTATTTTTGGCCATGGCGTTGTCAGTTTGTTTTCGATCTATGAGTTTGACTGTCCCTCTGGTATCTTTCGTCCCTCTTTTGAGATATATAAACACCATAAGATGGTGACAAGGGAACGTCACCATCTAAAAATGGATAATTAATAATAGAAAAATCATCTCTTTTATCAAAAATTTTGGTATTAAGTTTCCCGTTAAAGATATAGATATCAAGATCTAGGAAAGGGCAGTGTTCATTGTTAGTATTAGCTTTATTTAAAGTAAGTTCGGCAGAATAAATCTCTTTAGTGTACATACTGAAGTCGTCATTATTGAGAGCCAATATATCATCCAAATATCTAAAAGTGTTATTAAATTTTTGAATCAGATGTTGTTTCGATGGGTCTTTGCTGATTTTAGTCATAAATTGTAACTCATAACAATACAGAAACAGGTCCGCAATAAGTGGTGCACAGTTAGTCCCCATGGGAATTCCGATAACTTGACGATATACGGAATCTCCATAGCGAACACAAATGTTATCTAGAAAAAATTCAAGGGCAGTAATAGTATCAAAGCAGGTCCAATTGACATAGTTCTTTTGTTTGTTGTTACTAAAAAATGACCTAAAAGAGTTTGAACATATCTATTCGCATTCTGACTTTTTAAATGCCCATTTAATCAGGTGTGTGAATTTTTTCTTAATAAGATTATTAGGAAAATTGGTATATGGGGTAGAAAAATCTAAACTTTGAACAGATTCGAAATCACCAATATAAGCATGCAATTTATCAAGTACTTCCAACGAATTTTTTACACTCCAAAAGTAATTAATACCACTATTTTCAAAGGCCTTATTTGAACTATTTATTACCAGGTTTTTGATTGTACCAAGTGTACTAGTAAGTAGAATAGATAGTTTCGAGTGGAACAATGGCTTGAAGACGAAATAAATCTATATTTGTAAGGAGTTTTGTGCAGCTTCGGAAGCCAGTACATAGTTGGAACTTTCATTGTATTCGGTTCTGCTTGTAAAGATGTAGCTAATTTTTATGTTTGTTACAGATGTCTTTTCCGAAAATGGAGTCAGTTGGAATGTTGGTGAATTCGTGTTTTCCTTTTTCAGAACCTCAATGTAAAATTTACGTCAAACATAATGATATTATTAGTAGCCTTATCAGCCGGGACAAAAACAAATTCCATGTCGAGTTCTTTTAGCTTATGTTTGATACGTGAAATAGGGCTATTATGGTTGTTGCTAGGAGTAAAATGTTCTTTAAAATGACATAACAAATAAGAGGGAGTTCAGTATTGTCAAAATAGCCAGCAATTTGTTCTTTAACAGAATGACCATTAAAAATACCGGCAATATTTACAAAATCAAAACCTTTATTGACATATTTAATTTTAATAAAAAAAAATTTGTGATCTTCAGGGCGATCAATATTGGGAAACAATTTAGAATAACAATATGCAATTATAATTTCGACGATTTCATACTTAGGACTGCAATATGGAATAGTGTTGCATTCCTCTAAAATTTGATGTAATTTATTAACAGGCAAAGAACAGAGCCTGTTTAATAGATAATGTCTACCGTTGTTTTTTGAAATAGAAATAAGTTCCTAAATATTCGTATTGTTGGTACGAAATTTTCTTTGAATGCGATTTATTCTATGCCCATGAGAACGGTTTTTGCACACTGTTTTAGAAACTATATCCAAAATATTCACAGAATCTGTTCTTGATATATTACCAATTCCCATGATATTGTCATTAAGACCGAGAGAATAGACTGTCTAATTTTTTAATCCAATTTAATTCAATTATTTTCCGTGATCGTACAAATTTTGAATGAGATTCCCTAGGCTGCCTATTAACTACTAAAGAATGTTTTAAGGTAAAACTAATAAGCAGTAACAGCCAGTAGAAAATTAGATGACCCATTATAAAATGTTAAATGATTGCAGGGAAAGTATGGAGAATCAACAAACGGAATATGGGAACTGAAAATCAAATCCATCATTAATGAGGAGAAAAGACAGGTTGATTGGAATGGGGGTCAAGCATTTGGTGAAGTGTATGAAATTAGATCCAGTTTGCGGAAGAGTAAAAAGACAATTGGTATTTTGTTTTTGAAAAATGTGTTGACATTAGACATCTGATAACAGTAAAATTAAGGCTTTTTCAATTGTTTCTAATATTTGAATTAAACTTACATTAAGACATATCCCGACTGATCTATATGATAACATAATCACTTTACTTTTGGATTGTAATTGTCCAGAGTTTTCCTTGAAATTTCATATGTCCTCAGGATAAACATTACAACTTTTATAAAATTACGATGAATTGATAAGTATGTCCTCTATTTATCTGTATTAACTGGTTAACTATGCATAGTTATTTGCATTCGTATTGTCTTATTAATTGTATTCATCGGGTTTTTTCATTGATCTTTTTGGTGTTCATACTACAGTGCATACAATTGTTGCAAGAACAATTATGAACAACTCCAAAACTAAGTTATTAGAATTCAATTATAGCTTTGTCTTCATTCAAAAATATTTTGTCTGCTCCAAATAACTCATGATTTAACACCTTTGAAATATACTATAACTGTCAACCATAGTAAAAAGTAAAATCACAAAATACTTAACTCCGATGAAAATTCAAAACGGAAAGTCCCTAATCAAATGGCAAAATCCAAAGCTCAAACACATCAAACGGATTGATAACAACTGTCATATTCCTGACTTGGTACAGGCATTTTCTTATGTAGAAAATGGTGGACTAAACCTGGTTTTATAGCCTTTTTTTAAAAGGATTGAATCAAATAATTTATCTTTTCTCACTTGAAATGCATTTAAAAGGTTAAAAATTCCCATGCAACGTTTTCTTTGGAAAATGAATGTACCAAGACAGGAATATGACAGTTGGTTTTCATTGATTTGTTGGTTGATATAGTTTAATGTTTGATTTTGTCAGGTTTTATGGATATTTGTAATATACCTTTGAGTTCGATATTTTTGCTTTCAAAATATTCAAGAGTATTCATATTTGACAAGAGTGTAATGTCTGTCTTTCTTTGTAATGAGTGTTAATTTTTGGCATATTTAGAGGTTTTAATGAATATTCAAAACGTTTTTAACACTTTTTTTTCGTTTCTCGTTTTTTATATAGATTAAACCGTTGGTTTTCCTGATTGAATGGTTTTACACTAGTCATTTTTGGAGCCCTTTATAGCTTGCTGTTCGGTGAGAGCCACGGTTCCGTGTTGAATGCCGTAATTTGACCTATAATGGTTTACTTTTACAAATTGTGACTTGAATGGAGAGTTGTCTCATTGGCACTCATACCAAATCTTCTTATATCTATTAACATTTTTTTTTAATTCAAATAATAATTATATGTGTTATCCCTGTACATGGGCTTTTATTATTTATAAATAATTTTTAAATTTTAATGCACTTCGATTCTGTATGGCTAATATTTTACTCAGCTTTTGTAAAATATATATTAGAAAATATTTGAATAAAGGTCTTCTTTTGACGAGTTGAGAGTTTCATATAATCTTCTCTCTTCGTATAGGATTTAATTTCCACGTGGTAAACAACTAATTTGTTTATAATTGCGGTTTTTTCAATGACATTAAATATGTTGATTTATGTCCGTTGCCTCCGCAGTGCTCGGCATATGATAGTTTAATAGCCTTCCCCCTTGTTTGAATGATTTCTTTTTTTTCTAAGTTCTCTTCAACTATGTTTTAATCAATTAAAAGTGTATTAATATCTTAGAGCTTGGGTTTGTTGTTATTTACTTTGAACTAAATCTGTTCAGGAGAAAATTTATTGAAAATCATCTTGTCGTTTTTGTTTGTTTATTTAAATGGACTTTCTTTTCCGCGATTTCATGTTTCTATACTTAGAATATTTGACGGTTGAACCTCTTATCTCACTTTTTATAGCATACCATTTCAATCTAATTTTCTACATTGTGATATAAATCATATTCTGATAATGTATAATTTTATTAATATACATAATCTTTATCTGTCAGTAAAAACAAAAATACCGAACTCCAAGGAAAATTCAAAACCGAAAGTGCCTTATCAAATAGCAAAATCAGAACCAAAATCCTTTATCAATGGCAAAATCAAAAGCTCAAACACATCAAACGAATAACAAACTTGCGTTGAATTGTCAGACACAGAATTCAGGACCTCACGTTTAAGTTTCCCAGGCAGCGTGAATCTAATAAATTATTATATTGTGTATTCTTTATTGACATTATAACAATATTGACTTTGTAACTTTTTAAAAATTTATATATAAATATTTCCAAACAAACTTCCTTCCTTGTTCAAACTGTTTGATGTCTGTATCGATTAAAGAGTTAACAGTAGGTTTTTATGTATTCATATTATACCAAAAAGGAACAATTAAAAATGTAAAATCGAAGAAAAGAGTTACAAATTAGTCAACAACAAAACATCAAAAGACGAAAACAAAATCTTCAGTATTACAACTTTTAAATATACATCTCTAACAACTGACTTCAAGAATGACATGCTTTTTATCATTTATATCAATTAAAACTGGTTCAGTTGAACGTTTCGTTAAAGAATATATGTCTAATAATAATTATGAGAGAGGCAAACGATACCAATGGCACATTCAAACTCATATGTCGAAAATAAACCGACAACACTTGTCTAAAAACGCAAAAGACCAACAGACAATCAATAGTATACTATACACAACAAAGGAAACTAAGGACTGATCAACAAGAACCCCACCAAAAACTGGTGGAGAGCTCAAGTGCTCCGGAAGGATGGGCAAATCCTGCTGCACATGTGGCACCCATCGTGTTGGTCATGTTAGTACAAACCCGGTAATAAATCTAATTCGGTAGGTCACACTCGGGGAAAAGGGAACGGGATTGTAGCCCTGGTTTACCGTTTCAATTGGGAGATAATATGTTCCGTATGCAGGCGCTGCTAGAATAATGCCACATAGAAATTGAAAGTTTACAATTGGGAAGCTGAAATCTTCTATTTTGTCGTAAAATTTTGTTCCCACCTGCCCCTCATTGTTAATTTCTAGATGTGAATCAAGATATGAGGCAGACTCATTAGTATCTTTTTAAAATGTTTTTTTTTCAGATCTGAATTTATATCCAGTGCAGTTTACTTTTCAAAGTAGCAATAGAGCTTACCTTGAAGGACAACCGATAAATCTCCGTGATAATGGTTTTATCCATATCTTGTCCTCCGTGCCGAGGTCGTCGTTTTGGGACCGAGGCATGACGCATGTGGTTAGTTTAGAAGGAATGGGGGCGATTGGCATTAGAGAAATAGGACCGAAACCACATAAACCATTATCAGCAGGTAATTTTATTTACAATTTCGAACAGGTCAAAAACTGTGGTAAACTCGGGTGGTCCGTAATACTTAGCAGCTTCTGCGCCTATTACGCCAGTCATTGATGTATATTGCAAGTTTGAAAATCCGTTATAATACCCAATCGGAAATTTTTTTGAATTAAAAAAAAATCAATGATATCTTTTTTTTAAAATGTATTATCCCCGTGACATAATCTGACATGTGATAAAGTTAAACCTTACATTTCACAGCTGTTGCTATTAAATGTTATTCGATATCATGTGATACAAGAAATTAATAGTTAAAAGTCATTTGACATCGATATACTTTATATTTCACTTCTTGTTTGACTACTTAATCAAATATACTCGAAGAATGATAATTTCCCAAAGAATAAGGAAATTACTGATGCGAGATTGTATCTTCAACACACTGAAAATAGTTGATGTCATCTATGTTACATATATTTCATAATGATCAAATCATGATGGCTGACGTAAGCTATTTTCCAAAAAGAACTTCAACATCATCTTGAGAATCCTTGTTTTCATAAAGCTTTCCGATGAGCAGAAACGTTATTTCAAGAAATTAAAATCGGAAACACAGATCCTTTCTTTTCGAACTTCTTATGTCTGTGCTTCTTGAATAATTATTACATAGAGATGAATTGAAAAGAAATGTGTTAAACGATTTTTAATATAGAGTTATTGCTTCACTAATGACAAGCGGCATCTTACTCCTGTTCAAGATATCTTAATAGCCATATCAACTGAATTGTAACTTGAATAAGACTTTTGGAAAATCGGAAAATCAAAATAATACTTGATTTATTTCGTGCGTCAAACACGCTTTTCTGGCTTTACCTTTATCAAGAAAGCACATCAGAAACACCAAATTTAGAAAGTTTAATTGTCATTTAGCTCTAGGCAAATACCACTGCTTGTTGACCTTGAGTCCTCGAGAGTAAATGTGTCATTTGGCGTATTTTTATTTCTTTGCCGTGTTCAACTAGAGCATAGTTGGCATTGGAATACATTAAAAACAAGAGGCTCATGAGAGCCTGCTATTGCTCACCTTTAATTTCAGTTTCAGGCATTTGACTTATTTGTAGATCTTACTTTGGTGAACAGTTTTGTCATTTACACTTTCTAATAATATTAAAGATAAAACATAACCCAAAACTGTAACATTTCATAAAAAGTAACTATTTCTGGACAGTAACCCATCAATAAGTTGTCCTATTGGTCTGAAGATTACTTGACAGGTAGATCTAAACCTGTTTAACACTTTCACCAAGTCAGTTTTGCTCTTACTGCTTTAGTTTTTGAGATGAAAGCCAAAAACTTCATTTGACTCATATGTTCTATTTTTAGAAACTGCTGCCATGTTTTTTAATGGATCGAATCCCCGAAAACAATCTATAAACTAAACACCCTAAGGAACATTCGATTAAAGTTTTTCAGTATTTGGCGAAGTAGTTTCAGAGAAGAAGATTTTTGAAAAAGCAATTAGACTTTCACAAAAAATGTAAAAAAAAACGTTTTAAAGCCAATAACTCCTTAAGGGGTCAATTGACTATTTTGATCATGTTGACTTATTTGTACATCTTACTTAGCTGAACATGTATTGCCATTTGTACTTTCTCTCTATCTATTATAATATTATAGGAAAAAAATAAAAACAGTAACATTTAATAAAAATATGTAAAAAAATGTAAAAAAAAGTTTTAAGGGCAATAACTCCTTAAGGGGTCAATTGACTATTTTGATCATGTTGACTTTTTTGTAGATCTTACTTAGCTGAACATTTATTGCCATTTATACTTTCTCTCTATCTATTATAATATTGTATGAAAAAAACAAAAACAGTAACATTTAATAAAAATAATTTATTTCCAACAGTAACCCAATAATGGGTTGTCGAACTTGTCTGAAAATTTCACAACAGATAGATCATGACCCATTTATCACTTTAACTCCTTCACGTGTGCTCTAACTGCTATAGTTTTTGAGATACAAGCCAAAACCTGCTTTTGTGAAGATAAAAGCCAAAAACTGCATTTGACCCCTATGTTCTATTTTTAGCCATAGCGGCCATGTTTGTTAATGGATCAAAACTTCGGATACAATTTATAAACCAGTTACCCTAAGGAACATTCAGTTTAAGTTAAGAAGTATTAGGCCTAGTAGTTTCAGAGGAAAAGATTTTTAAATGTTAGCAAACATGATGAACAAATTGTGTAAAATTGTCTTTAAAGGGCAATAACTCCTTAAGGGGTCAATTGACAATTTTGATCATTTTACTTTTTTGTAGATCTTACTTTGCTGAACATTTTTGCTGTTTACAGTTTATCTTCATAGTGATAAAGATAATAACACAACGTTGACTTCTGTACCCCTATTTTTGATATTTTTACCTATTATGTCTGTTTGTTTTGTTCACACATCGTTGTCAATATAATGGAATTTTATACGGCTGTCATACAAGTGAGAGGTTTAGCTAGCTATGAAACCAGGTTTAATCCACCATTTTCTACATAAGAAAATGCCTACCAAGTCAGGAATATGACAGTTGTTGTCCATTCGTTTGATGTGTTTGAGCTTTTGATTTTGCCATTTGATTAGGGACTTTCCGTTTTGAATTTTCCTCGGAGTATAGTATTTATGTGATTTTACTTTTTATCTTCAATAATATTCAAGATAATAACCAAAAACTGCCAATTTCCTTAATATTACCAATTTAGTGGAAGCAACCACCAATGGGTTGTTCGGTTCGTCTGGAAATTTCAATGCTGATAGATCTTGACCTATTGAACATTTTTACCCCTTGTCAGATTTGCTCTGAATGCTTTAGTTTTTGAGATATAAGCCAAAAACTGCATTTGACCCCTATGTTCTATTTCTAGCCATAGCGGCTATCTGTGTTGACGGATCAAAACTTCGGATACAATTTATAAACTAGATACTCTAAGGAACATTCAGTTAAAGTTTGAATGTATTTGGCCCAGTAGTTTCAGAGGAGAAGTTTCTTGAAATAGTTTACGACGACGACGACAGACGACGGACGACGACACACGCCATGTGATGGCATAAGCGCACATGGCCCTTCGGCCCAGGCGAGCTAAAAATGTCTTTTGATATTTGAAATAAATTGTATTCATTTTTTTTTCAGTCTGTAATGACTTGATATATCCAAGCGCAGCAAATATCAGCAAACGTTATGACTTTAAAGATCGGATTTTGATTTCTTACGATATCAAAGTTAGAATAATGTTCGTTGAAATACAGACTTCTAGCGCTTTGAATTTTAGCATAGCTTACCTAAACGAAGTAAATGGAACATTCATGGAGATTAATGATGTCGAAAGAGCACACAAATCTACTATGCAAAATTTTACCATAACAGCACAATTATATACCAAAGCTATCAAAATTTTCACAACTACAAAAATAGACAACGGCAATAATATTACAGACATTGTCAAAATGATAGTTGTTGGTGGCTGTCCAACCGCTTTATTAGACACTGGCGAACCGGATACAACCACTGAAGAATGGACAATGGAACTTAGTGAAAACGTCATCATGACTAGTCCGTATCTTCACGTCATACCAAGGTCAAGAACGGCTGTAGATATAGAAAGTATTATGAAAGAAGTTGAAACACCACTGTTTCAGACTTTCTCGTTAGCATTTCAATTAAAGGAACCACAATACGACTGTGCTTTTACTGGAGGATCATTGAAGATTGATTTACAAGAAAGTGCTGCTGAATTTAGATTCAATATTTTAAATATAACCAAACATCCCACTAACGAAGGTCAAGAACTGATTCTCACAATCGAAATTAAATCTTTGAACGAGAATGATCTTGATCGCGGATTGATGGCATTGAACAGTACAATTAGGTCCGCAATAAGTAATCGTGCATGTTCTGGTCAAAACTCTACAATCCAGACAGACGCATTAGAAAAAACGACCGATTCAGCTTCATCAACTATGCCTAATACATGGATCGTAGCCAGTATTTGTTTCATTGGTGTTCTTCAAGTCATAACCTTATTGTTTTTAGTTGTCAAGACATTTCGGGATTCAACAATCAAAAAAGGTAATTCCATCCACTGATTATGCATCTAATATATACATATAAATATGTTTAAATGTTTGAACTGTTAATAAGATAGAATAATAATATTAGAAAAAATTAAACGCAGTTTATAAAGCATATATGCAAATGTGCTTGAAAGGCAAACACGGTGAGAACGTAAATTCGTTTTGTCGTGGATCAAACAAATATATAGGAAAAAATTTGTTTTGAATATTTTGAATATTACCTTTCTGTACTAAACTGAATATTCCAACGCCAATCCAGTTCATTTTGGTTACCTTAGAAAAAAAACGTAAAGTTGAAGCTAATTAAGACCTAAATTGAGATACATAAATATATAATGCATCGCCAAATAGATTGTAACCACACGCGAAAAGTACGTTGAGCGAATGAAAACTATAATCTCATGTTTGTATTATGGTTTTCGGCTTGCCATCCGCATATGACTGACGAAAAAATATCAATATTGATCAGACAGACAGAAATTTTATGAACCACAGTTTCTGTCCAAACTCAGTAAAGCCATGTCTAGATTCCATTTAATTGATGAATTCAACAACACTTTGTACGAACTCTAAGTAATTACAAATAAATATAGGTATATTTTTCGAGCCGATCTGGTGAGAAAATACAATTCCAGCGATTTTGTTCCCGTTTGCTTTAATTTCATGCTGCTAAATCTCTGTTCCGGTAAAGGAGAGGGTTGAGTGCATACAAACATGTTTACCTCGCCTGATTCTTTACGTGCCTGTCCCAAATCAGGAGACTATAATTCAGTTATTGTCGTTGGTTGCTGTCTTCTTTACTGTTTTGTCGTAGATCCGGCCGTTGGTTTGAATTATTTCACATTATGTCATGTTGGAGCCTTTAAAAGCTGACTACACGATATGTGTTTTGTTCATTGTTGAAATCCGTTCGGTGACTTATAGATTACTAAATCCTATCCATTTGGCTCTGTTATAGTTTTCTCTTTGGAAATCATACAACATTTCCTTGTTTTATATTGACATATCAGATCGAGAAAACACGCATTTTAAGTCTGATTATAATTGATAAAAAATAATTTTGTTATGAATTGAAATATAAATAAGTACACATCCAATGAATTTAGCTTCAAGATTTAGTACACTGTCTGACACAAACACGCCCTTGTGCACTGCAAAATAAAAGATTTGGCAGGATGTGAACCGTAACAGTTCATTATCTCATGGGGATGCATAATTTATTATGATTTGAATTGTTTGTAACAAAATAAATGTCAGATCCGATAAAAACAATATTCAGTGAAAGGATCGTACCTCATTCTATTGGCTCTATGAACAACATCATCGTAGAAATGAAGATGTAATATATTACAAATATGTAGCTTAACTTGAAATCAAAAGACATCTATCTTTGATACTTATAGAGTAACTAATCGAAGAATTCAAATAGAGAAAAATATTCAACGAGTGACCGAACAACACAATAATTCACGAATGCGCGTAGCGCATGAGTTAATTATCAGTGTTGTTCGGTCACGAGTTGAATATTTTTCAATATTTGAATTCTTTGATTAGTTATTCTTTTTATTTAATTGGCAAATGGCTTTTTTATGAAATCAAAATAGAAAATTTAAGGAACTATATCTTTTTCTACGCATTTACAATTTGTTTTCGACGTCTTGACAACACTATTGTTGTATGACGTCAGATGAGTGAAATAACCACGTTTATTTCACATGTGAAATTATCGGTTTTTATTTCACTGGGAAATAATGTAATTCGTTGCAACCAATATAATAAAAAGGTTTAAGTAATCGGTGTTTAGTATATCACTGACCCACCGAATAAATTTTACCGGGTTTGTAATTATGTAATCACCTTTACGGTTTTAATATATGAAGCATATCTGCTTACTATCCCGAAGCACCTGATATCAACCCCACTGTTCGGTAAGGTTCTTGTTGACTATTCCGAAGTTTTTATTCTGTGTTTTGTACATTGTTGTTTGTCTTTTGGTCAGGTTTTTTTAATGGCATTTATCTAGGGTTTATTTCAGTCCTTGTTCTTCATACGATGTTGGAACAGTTTTTGTGTAAAGATCACAACCCTGCTAACAAAGTCCTATAGTTGAACATATTTCGTTGAGATATATACGATCGGGCAGAGCCTATGTCACTGCTGAAAAATGGGAAATTGAAATCTAAAAAGTTGAACTAATTACGTTTGCAGTCGTCAATCTGTGTTATAGTCGATAACAAAATCAGGATATGAGGCAGACGTTCTGATTCAATTAACATCGGCGTCATTTGGAATTTGGTTTATAGTTGTCAAATTGTCAGATATACACCAGCTTTATATTGTAACTCGTATCTCGTATCCTTTTATCCGGAACGAGCACGTCTGGAAAACAATATCCCAAAAATATCCATCAATATACGTATCGATTCTGTCAATATCCTTTTGAGAAGTATACACTTACAACTGAGGCCTCTGCAAACAAACTCAAAGATTAACAACAGCTACCAACACTTGGGCAAAATAGCCTGATGTTGAACATGTATAAAATATAGTAGGATTTAACCAGTTCGCGGGTGGATGCATGATAAGCGAGAGATCCTAATCGATTATCTTTATCTAGTATCGCTCCTTTTGTCTCTGTTTTTAATTTGTATGGGTTTGTTTCTTGGTTTGTATGTTCTCCGTTGATGTGTCAACTTTTATCATTGTTACCGACTAATTCAGACCTGTCCAGAATAAAAAAATATGTATACTCAAAGTTTATACTAATACAAGTCATCTTAATATACTACTATTTTTTAATAATTGATTTTAAAATAACAGATATGTATTTTTTTGCAGCTCAGGAACGTCTATCCCTATCCAACCCAACACCGACAGAAAATCCATCCTATACAGGAGAAGATCCTGAATGAATCACAATTTTGAAAATTTTAGATTTGCATTGATGTTCAATTCATTGTTTCATTTGATATAATCACTTCTAACTAACATTTAGACAATGTATCAATATAATTTTGTATTGGTTGAATAACTAAACACTTTGTATTACAATATGAAATGATATAATCAAAGTTAAAGATGATTGTCGAATTTGGAAAAAAATATTTTTAAAACATTCAATTTCATAATGCAGTACATATTTTGGGAAATGTCAGACCAATAACTTTTTTTAAGATGTATTTCAAAAGAAAAACTTACGACTAGTTGTGACAGAGTATTTGTTTCACGGAGCAAATCTATTTAAGGTGACTTTGATAAATTTTTTTTAAACCGGTACTGTTGCCTTTTTGTGTCAATACCAAGAAACAAAATGGTTTTGTTTTATATAACAAGAGCAACGGGTATTCAAACTTGTTGTACTGTTACTCCACTGGCCAAGGTTAGGGGAAGGGTTTGGCATTCAAAGACATGTTTAACCCCGTCCCATTCTGTATACGCCTGTCCAATCGGGAGCCTGTAATTCAGTGGTTGTTTTAGTTTTACACATAAATCAGGTAGTAAGTTTTCTTGTTTGAATTGTTGTACATTTTCGGATCTATGCGGTATGGGTTTTGCTCATTGTTAAAGGCCGTACGGTTACCTATAGTTGCTAACTTCTACGTTATTTATTCTCTTGTGGATAGATGTCTCATTGGCAATCATACGACATATTTTTAGAATGATCTATCAGTAGTATTCAACGTTCTACATTTTCTAATTGTTGTGAATATTGATGAGTAACATGTGCAATCTAAAAAGTCAAAATGCGAATACATATGTTCAAACTCTTTTAAATCATTTTTAGTAACAACAAACAAAAGAACTATGTCAATTGGACCTGCATTGATACCATAACTGCCCTTGAATGTTTACTAGATAACATTTTTGTTCGCTATGGAGATTCCGTATATCGTCAAGTTATCGGATTTCTTATGGGGACTTACTGTGCACCACTTATTGCGGACCTATTTCTGTATTGTTATGAGTTACAATTTATGATTAAAATCAGCAAAGACCCATCGAAACAACATCTGATACAAAAAATTATTAATACTTTTAGATATTTGGATGATATATTGGCTCTCAATAATGACGACTTCAGTATGTACACTAAAGAGATTTATCCTGTTGAACTAACATTAAATAAAGCTAATACTAACAATGACCACTGCCCTTTCCTGGATCTTGATATCTATATCATTAACGGGAAGCTTAATACCAAAATTTATGATAAGAGAGATGATTTTTCATTTCCTATTGTTAATTATCCATTTTTAGATGGTGACGTTCCCTTGTCACCATCTTATGGTGTTTATATATCTCAACGTGTCCGATTTGCTCGTGTATGTAACAACGAATTCGATTCTAACGAAATAAATCTATGTATTACTGAAAAATTACACCAGGGTTTTCGATATCACAAACTTGTCAAAACATTTACTAAATTTTATCATCGTTACAAGGACGTCATTCGTAAATATAAATCAACATGCAGACATCTTATACGTTCAGGTATTTCACATCAAATCGTTTATGGTAATATTCTTTACTTAGCACAAAAATGTCGGCATTCACCTCAAAAGCTTACAAAACCTTTAAACAGACTTATTAAGTAGGGATATAGTTACGATACTGTTGTCAGGTCATCAACGATGGCGTATTTTGGCATTAATATTGATTCACTTACAGTGTCTTTGCATCGGAAATAAACACATTTATTCTAAAACCAGTTGTTGTCATGATACGGGTTATGTTCTTCTCATTTATTTTATGATGGTATGATACTAAACCCCTAGCGGGAGGGATTGTGCTTGATATTCATATGATGAAGACATAATCTTTCTATCAGTTTAATTGAGGTCTGGAGCTGGCATGTCAGTAACTGCTAGAAGTCCTTAGTTAATTTATGTATCATTGTCATTTTGTTTAGTTTCTTTTGTTACCTATTCTGACATCGGACTCGGACTTCTTTTAAACTGAGTTTTACTGTACGTATTGTTGTGTGTTTGTTTATTCTACATTGGCTAGAGGTATAGGGGGAGGGTTGAGATCTCACAAAACATGTTTAACCCCGCCATATTTTTGCGCTTGTCCCAAGTCAGGAGCCTCTGGCCTTTGTTAATCCTGTATTTTTTTTTAAATTTTAGTCCAGTTATATGTTTTGGAGTTTAGTGCGACGTCCATTTTCACTGAACTAGTACATATTTTTGTTTAGAGGCCAGCTGAAGCCCGCTTCCGGGTGCGGGATTTTCTTGCTGTGTTGAAGACCCATTGTTGGCCCTTGGCTGTTTTCTACTTTGGTCGGGTTGTTGTCTCTTTGACACATTCCCCATTTCCATTCTCAATTAATTTCAATATTGGTGCTACGATGTATGTAGATATTGATATCTGCGTGGTATAAAGTTTATTTTTAGAATAGTTCATTTATTATGAAAAAAAAATAACTAATGTCAATGATACCTGTTTCAGGTTATGCTGTCTTTGTTTTCTTTTGTTCGTTCGCTTGTTTGTACGGGTTTTTTTTTTACAAGAACAAAAACACTCTTCAAGGGCATACGATACAAAAAGGATCTTACGCCGATTTTAACTTGAAATTTTAACGTAAAATCAATGTTGATATAAGTCTTGAGATAAGCAGAAATCAATATATCTCCATGACTAACTTTTGGAGACATTCCAGGTTTAAATTTTGCATGTTTTATTTTCAAACATATAATATCTATCTCAATATTTTTCACCCAAAAAAGTTAACTTTTAAAGGGACAGATATATTTTCATTCAATTGTGTTTGGCAAAATGTTCCTTACTTTATAGACTTTTACATAAATCCCTCACATAAACGAAGTGTAGGATTAAATTGTTAAACCATAAAATCAATAAGTAATAGATCGTGGTTGACAAATGTTTTTTCTAATTCCAAAAATTCTGTCGTTTATTATTTCTTGCAATTTTAGTACAACACTCTTTAAGAAGCTCATGATCGAGTGCAAAAGAAAACATGGGGGTCCATTTCAAATGTTATTTTGGCAAAGAAAAAACAGAAAACCGAGATTTCAATATGCTGGGGATCCTTTTCCCTGTTTTTTGGCGCTAAATAACGTCTAGATGAATTTTTAGTGCAACATCGTTGTGCAGCTTTTCATTCCGTTTATCTAAACGATGTACAATTGAATGTAATGAACAAATGTTTTGATGATAGAAAAGTAAACAGCCTTCAGTTGCCTCGAATTGTATGGCCCCGCATAAGATTTCACGTGCTCAGCCATACACCATATACAAGATGTTTGTATTCCTTCAAATATTCACGCAACCGAATAGATGATGTTAGTAATTTTCCGAGAATTGTTAATGCTTATCATTACCACACTTTTGCGATAGCAACGTATTAAAGTTCGAAGAATTAATAATTGCCTTTACACTATAACGTATGCCCTTAGATAAAACAAGTTTGTCTGTATTCCTTTTATTCATAGGGTGTATTTTCTTGAAATACAAATTGTTCTTTTGTGTGAAATATATTATATCATTTTCTTATGTCAATTTTTGTCATGACATAGAAAATAGTTTATTTTAACTAACATGACTTGAAATTACTATATATAACGTATGCCCTTACATAAAACAAGTTTGTCTGTTTTCGTTTTAAGCATAGGGTATATTTTCTTGAAATACAAATTGTTCTTTTGTGTTAAATATATTATACCATATTTCTCGTGTCAATTTTTGCCATAACATAGAACATAGTTTATTTTAACTAACATGACTTGAAATTACTATACTATAAGGTATGCCCTTAGATAAAACAAGTTTGTCTGTATTCCTTTTAATCATAGGGTGTATTTTCTTGAAATACAAATTGTTCTTTTGTGTAAAATATATTATACCATATTTCTCGTGTCAATTTTTGTCATAACATAGAACATAGTTTATTTTAACTAACATGACTTGAAATTACTATACTATAACGTATGCCCTTAGATAAAACAAGTTTGTCTGTATTCCTTTTAATCATAAGGTGTATTTTCTTGAAATACAAATTGTTCTTTTGTGTAAAATATATTATACCATATTTCTTATGTCAATTTTTGCCATAACATAGAACATAGTTTATTTTAACTAACATGACTTGAAATGACTATACTTTAACGTATGCCCTTAGATAAAACAAGTTTGTCTGTATTCCTTTTAATCAAAGGGTATATTTTCTTGAAATACAAATTGTCCTTTTGTGTTAAATATATTATACCATATTTCTCGTGTCAATTTTTGCCATAACATAGAACATAGTTTATTTTAATTAACACGACTTGAAATTACTATACTATAACCATTGATAATGTATGCCCTTAGATAAAACAAGTTTGTCTGTATTCCTTTTATTCATAGGGTGTATTTTCTTGAAATACAAATTGTTCTTTTGTGTAAAATACATTATACCATATTTTTCGTGTCAATTTTTGCCATAACATAGAACATAGTTTATTTTAACTAACATGACTTGAAATTTATTTCTTGTCATCCACAGTCAAATGTTTATTAGTTATTTTTCTCAATTGAATTGTTTCACATTTTTCATGTCGGGGCCTTTTATAGCCGACTATACGTACATGTAATAGGAGTTTCTCATTATTATAATTGCTTAAATCCACTTCATTTGAACTTTGGTGGATAGTTGTCTCATTGGCAATAATACCACACCTCAATATTTTAAGTAATGGTCATTACATTTATAATCAAGAAACGTACAAATGGAATCATTAGTCAAAGTAATTATCATAGTAGGAAACGGTAATAATGCCAATATTAAATTAGATGTCAGGTTTCAGTGCAGATGGTACCTTTTGTCTTTAGTTATGTTTATATTTTCAATGTCATTCTTATTTTTACTTAAGAATTTATAAAACGAATCATAAAATATTGATACTAATCACAGAAATAAAACGTTACAATAGTTTTATTTTCTATTGTTCTCAGAAATCTATGACATTAATGTTGAAAATAATATGCGCATCAATATATTGCATAATTTTCACAATGCAGGTTAAGCATTTGGTCTTTACTCGTTGTATATTTAATAAAAAAACAAAATTCAACCACAAACTTTTTATCATCCTAGTTATTAAGAAAACGAGCGTTTTGAAACTTTGATTTACTCAAACAAATACGTGTCTTTTTAATGAGAGAATAGACAGCAGATGAGGTGTATTCACTGGGTAATTTTTTATCTCATAGTTTTGAATTATATCGTGGTCATACCATACGTCTCGTTCGTTCTGTAAACCTGTTTTCAATTAGTTGCATGTAATGAACACTGTTTTCACATTGCATTTGTTCTCATCCGGTTTAAGTCATCTGTAAATGAGAATTTTTCAATCGAGTAAACTAGAAGTACTAAAAATGTTTATCACATAAGATTAAGTCTAGTTTAAAGGATGTTACGATCAAGTAATAAAAACGCAGGCTACAGCAGATTAACCATATACAAAAAGATAGTTTAAAATGTTTATGTTATTTCAACAAACGCAGGATTACTACCGTTTTATCATTTTTGTTTGTTTATGATGTTATTGTGCCTAAACAAAAAGAACAGACTATCTATAGTTTAATGACTTCTTTACAAAACGCACTATAATAAAAAAAAATATATTTTAATATACCAGGCTAATGTGTTAGTATGACATATGTGCGTTTTGTCTGAATTTATGATAGGAGTTCGAATCAATGTACTCGTCAAATGTATAGATGTATAGATGCATAAACTCAGTCTATCACTCGCATTCTTCAGACTTTTTATAGTTTGTGACCGAGAAAGTCGAGTGTACATAGAGATAAATCCTCTAGAATGACATTTTTTACAATAATATTCTAGATTCAAAAGTCATGCATTTAATTTGAAGTCCATGTCCCATTGAAAAGAAAACAGCTGTATAGCAGGAGCTCCGAACGAAGCGACACAGTTTGTCTTTAAAAGTACTTGAAAATATATACTAGTATTGAATTTATCCTTTGAATATATCTTTCTCGTGCAAATTAAGCACTGTGGCACAGTTCATGCTTTAATCTTAGACTCTTATATACAAACTACAGACATGCTATCAATATTTCCCGTTAAAACATTCACAGGAGTGAATGAAAACAGTAAACACGGTCTGCTAAACCCACCTACGTTTACCTTACACACTATAGACATTAATAGTGCAACAATATTTGATAATAGTGTGCATACCAATACACAAATTGTTTTAAACTTGTTTATGAAATCCGGTACATTCAAATGCTGAACCAACAACCTTGACAAGGAAAAATTAACATAACATGAATTTAATGTATTTGTATGCAGCATGGCTATAAAAGAAACTATCAAAAATATTTTATAAGATCTATCTTTTTACAGGGTTGTAGGTAACAGTTTTCCTTGGTAACAAACTATGATTATCAGAGCATTTTTATACAAGGACAAGTCCACCTTATAGCAAGTTTCATAATATACTGACGGACTTTAAAAACGCAACACTAGTTTATCTATTTTTTATTCCCATTTTCAAATATTCAATTTTTGTAAATTAAATAATCATAAATTTCATTCATTTCTTAATTGTCTAAAAAAAGTTTGCAGTTCGAAAGTTGAATTGATGACACCATTTTTAATGTTCAAATCTTGTGGTATGCATTAAACACTGGTTTTCCCCTTATCAATGAATGTGTCATCGTCGAAGGCAATGATTGCCTCTTACCAACGTCAATATGATTGTCAGTAAGGACAACCAATTATGTCGGGAATTTTTTTAGTTCTGTTTTATACCTTCTGATTTTGCCTGTGTACCATGAATTACAGTGAGTTTTGGCAATTAAGCGGTTTAAAATTTAGGGCTTTAAAAGTTTTTCTGCAGTCCATTCTTTTGCATTTCAGTATATGGGTAAAATTTATGGCATGAATCTTTCTGCCATCGCATTCGGCGACTAGATAAGCAGTTGACGTTGCGGCTGTAAACATGTCACGCAAAAGACGTTGTGAAATTCAATTTTATTGACTTGGCGTTGGCACTACATATTCATCTGGTCCCGTCTGCCTATACCGTTGTTGTATGGACAGTAAGACGAGTTTCTGACGTGAAATTATAAGGAAACAGCACGTTCACGTATTCCTGTCTGCAATATTCTTATTGCCTCATTCAGATTTTCATTGCTCAGTCTCGGCAATATGGAGATGTAACATGTTTTAATGATTCAAGTGTGGGTATGGATTGAAACAATTGTTTCACGAAAAATAAGTCTTACAAAATCATTTAGGAGTTTCAAATTTCACTATCATAAATTCGTGCGACTTCAAAAATCCGGTATGTTTGAATAACCTCTGGTAGGTCAGGTATTATTTTTTTCGAAGCATAAAGAAATATGGAGAGCATGAATAGTAGTTATATGAGGATCAATCATGATTTGGTAAAAACAAATTACTAAAATGTTTGTTGCGTTTCTAATCCACCATTTTCTACATAAGAAAATGCCTGTACCAAGTCAGGAATATGACAGTTGTTGTCCATTCGTTTGATGTGTTTGAGCTTTTGATCTCGCCATTTGATAAGGGACTTTCTGTTTTGAATTTTACTCGGAGTTCAGTATTTTTCTTATTTTACTTTTTTCTAAAGTCATTTATTAAAAGAAAGAGACATAATTTTATATTCACTTTTAGAGATTTTACCCTTTTTCATTTCATTATGTGTGTAGCTCCTAAATCACTATCAAAACTAGTTGATACGACAATAATTTGTAAAAAGTTTAATCTTTATGGAAATCTTATTTTTTTATTACAGTAGTAAAAGTTAATACGATATTATTATATACAATATTGTACGAGTAATGACAACATCATTTACATTTTGTTCATTTAAGACTAATATTACCAAAGGTCAGAATGGTTTAATTTCCATTTTTTTTTTTCTATTCGAAAAATGTATATCATATGAACATCGGTATTTTACTTTTATATTCAGATTACTTCAATTATCGACAAATGTATGGATATTTACTCTAATGATGCCCAATCAAATAAAAGAAATGTTTTTCTGACCTGTGTTTGAATAAATAAAGGCAACAGTAGTATACGTGAAACGTGATGTACTTTATGATAGTAACTTTATAATTTTGTGTTAGTAACATGGTAATGCTAACAACAGGAAGATTTGAAATTACGTTATTTAAAATGTAAATATTCAAATATGAAAATGTCACTGCAAAATGGAAGTTAAATCTGTTAAAACTAATGAATACTATAAAACTCAACACAGTATATCAAATGTAGAAATGAAAGCTTTGCATCCATATTTTATTTTGGAGAACTTTAACAATACAGACCTTGTGTAATCTATCAGCTTTTATAATGTTTTATATTTAGCACTGAGCCATAACCGCTGCTTGTGAACTGCTACGGTATGATCAGTTTAGTAATCAGTGATTTAGCATTGGCATGTTTATAGCATTCTTTTCTAAAATTTATCGTTGATTAATTAAGAAACCAAAGTTTCAACTTACTCACGCGAAGTAAACCTCATAAGGATTTGGCTACTTTTTGGTCACATATCTCATCATATTTTCAAATATGTAAACCTCCTTAACTTTACATTCTATTGTCTGATGTTCCTGGTAAATGTATATCTAGAATCGTGCTTTGGGTGCATCAATTTAAAAACGGAATAGAACTTTTCATGAATTAAAAAATAAAATTCTGAATGCATCTTTCTGAATATCATTTGTATAAAAGAGAGGCGAAAGATACCAAAGGGACATACAAACTCAAAAACAATCTGATAACGCCATGACTTTAAGGTATGACTGCATGCATCAGTGAATAAGGTTAATAACCATTTAGTAGGCCAAACTGTAACATGAAGGTATGACTGCATGCATCAGTGATCAAGGTTAATGACCATTTAGTAGGCCAAACTGTAACTTGAAGGTATGACTGCATGCATCAGTGATCAAGGTTAATAACCATTTAGTAGGTAGGCCAAACTGTAACATGAAGGTATGACTGCATGCATCAGTAATCAAGGTTATTAACCATTCAGTAGGCCAAACTGTAACATGAAGGTATGACTGCATGCATCAGTGATCAAGGTTATTAACCATTCAGTAGGCCAAAGTGTAACATGAAGGTATGACTGCATGCATCAGTGATCAAGGTTAATAACCATTTAGTAGGCCAAACTGTAACATGAAGGTATGACTGCATACATCAGTGATCAAGGTTAATAACTATTAAGTAGGCCAAACTGTAACATAAAGGTATGACTGCATACATCAGTGATCAAGGTTAATAACCATTTAGTAGGCCAAACTGTAACATGAAGGTATGACTGCATACATCAGTGATCAAGGTTAACAACTGTAACATGATATAAAATATTGTCATGGTACTCGAGACATAAGGATGTTCGCTCTTCTTG